GTTTGCCTGTGAAGGAGTGTGGGCCGGCTCCGTTGATGAAACGTGGCTCCCATCCGCATGCCTCCCGGTCTTATTCCTTCGGGTTTACACTGGATATGGGGTATGTGGCTGGAGCTGTGGGTGGTGCAGCGCAAGCCATCCATGGTCCCTCTGTAGGCGCAGGCGTCCTGTGGCTTGCCACAGTGACAGGCAAATCCGAAACCGGATGCCGCCAACCATGTGTGTGGTGGGAGCGTCCACGAATCGCTGAGGTTTGTGGTGGCCAGATTCTGGGATATCGTTGACCCACCGCTGCTAATGTTATATCACTAACTCTTCCTGGAAACCACGTGACGACCACTTGGTTTCTTCCTTTCTATCTAAGAGCCAGGACAACTTCCGCGTGGGGTACATTTTCCCGAAGATTTTGACTGGGGACCCGGGTCTTTATCCTGTTCAGGTGTGGATGCCCTTACAGTATTCCAGTCAAAATCCACACCATGAATCATTCGAATACTGAAAATCTCCTGCTGCATCGGCCGTCGTGCAGTGTGGGAGCGGAAAAAGTCACCTTATCTGCTGCGTACAACGGGGTGGATCAGCGAAAACATGCTACCTCTGATTTTTCCATTTTTTCTTCTGCACGTACTCTCCTGTCCCACCTAACCCACTACTTTCTCCAATCCAGGTCGCCATCACTCATACGGTTGCCCGCTAACGCAACCGTATGCCTCTGCGCAGAGCGTTCAGCACCGAGTGCTGGAACGCGCGCATGCTACTTGACCGGAATATGAGTGAGCGTCTCGAGCGACGCACTGTAATAATAGCGATGGAACTCGTGCGATACGGGATCGACATTACCGCACTTAGCGTGACTCCACTCTTTGACCAAGGCAATCTGCACGAGCATGGTACTGGATACAGGTTCTAGTGAGTGGAAAACGCCATCGCACCACGTGAACGCGGGATCGGATTTGCACTTCCCGACCGTCTAAATAGCCACGTGATGGGAGAGCCATCCGGCCTCAGCCCCCGTTTGACAACACTTACCATACGACTTGGACGTGAATATAGAAATTTCGTTGGCACGTATGGTCTCATCGTCTGTTATCTCCAATGACAAGAGAGATTAATTTTACGCTCAGTTGTTCTCGTGATTACGGTCTGTGCGGAGGGGCGACCGGCTGTTCTTGCTGGGTGAATTTAACACGCGCGTTGGACGTGATCCAAGCCAAGTGTATTCGGCCAAACGTGTTCATCGTCTTTCGGACCCCAACAAGCGACCCGAGAGGCTTCAATCAAAGCGAACTTCCAACCAAGGGCTTTCATTCCTCTTGACCAAGTCATCGCTTGGCCTACTCTCCTCTTATTCCATCCACACCCCAGGCACGCAAACCACGCATGTGGCGAGAGTCGGCGTGTCGGCATACGCAACCCATGGCCCAGCTATTGGAAACGGGTTTACGAAATAACAGTGCTGTGCAGTTCACTTTCTTTTCTGTGCCACAAACTATTCGTGGGACACGCTCGTTGCTCACACGGTGTTCCCACAAGACATGAGCTAAGCTGCGAAGGCAGCGATACTCGAACGTGTGTAGCTTCTTTATGTCCGTCGACTTGATGGACCAGGTATCACAACCATGTACAAGGGTTGAACGAACGGCTGCATTGTAAACTCTGGTCTTCAGCGCGAGAGGGATGTCGCGTCGGCTCCACAGATGGCGCATATTGACAACAGCACCTCGAGCTTTGCTATACGATTCGTGAGCCTATCTGCAATCCCACGGGCGCCAATCTAGCTGCCGATATTCTTGAATTTATATACGACCTCTAGCTGATCACCACCGAGGGTAAGCCCAGGGGTGGGTCCCTGCCAATCTTGAAGGACTTGGTATTTCGCGGGAGCAAAACGATTGACAGCCAGTGTTAATCAGTCTAGTGCTGTTTGACACGTTTGGGCGCTGTCACATATGAGGGCAATGTCGTCAGCATACTCCAAGTCAAGAAGTCGATCCCCAATAAGCAGCGCCACACCTTGCAAGGCGTGTCCAGGAAACGCTGTTTCCATGACTTCATCGCTAGCGAAGTTAAAGAGGAAAGTTAACCGAGCACCCTTTCCTCACACCGCTGGAGATATTGAATGGCGGCGAGATTTTTCCATACACCCCCACGTTGCCCGGGCTCTGCGCGCACAGAGCTCTGATAATGTTTACGTATGTTTCGGGCACTTTCTGAACAGACAGCCCCAAAAGGCACATTGATCCACTGAATCGAAGGCATCTTTGATGTCGAGAAACCCTACTACGGTGGGTCGCCAATATATCTGACGACGCTCCGACAATTGACTCAAACTGAAGTTGTGGTCCATGCAGCCTCGATTTCGACGAAACCCGACTTGTTCGTCGCGAATTTGGCTTTTACGAGTCCCGGTCAGTCTGTGAATGCAAACAATTTCGAGGCAATTGTGACCAGACTCATCCCCTGTGATTGCTGGATTCCGAACAGGAGCCTCCCTCTAAAATTGAGTCTATGACGGAGCGGCTCCAGCCTGTCGAAACAGTCTTCCACAGTTTCACTAGTAACTCACGTAAATCATCTGCAAGAGCGGATCCTACGAATTTAAAAAGTGGGCCAGGGAATTCTATCTGCCTCTGCGGCCTTATTCAATTTCAGCAGTCTGTTCTCACCTTCGATCTCTGCGCGTGAGGGCGAGTCCAAAGAGACGACCCAGAGAGAAAATCAACCAATGCCCGAAAAAGAAAGTGATTTTTCAGATTGGTTAAACTGCTTTGCAATATGTCCGGCCCAACGCTCCAAACGTTTTGACAAGTTATGGATTGCCTGTCCACTCTCGTCGCATATTGTGTTGCTAACACCAGGTCTCCTGCTCCTCGTTTCCCGTGTCAGATAGTTACCAACGGCTGTTTCCATTTCCATTGCACGATGAGTCCACCAGAGTTTGCGGTCTCTCTTTAGGCTAGCACACAGTTTTGCTCTAAGGTCTTTGCACGATGGTCTCCGACAGTCGCTACGAAGTCATTCCAGCATGTTATCTCCGCTCTTCCATCAGCAAAGACCCTCTTTTTGTGGGTTTTGCTACGAAACTCCACTTTGCGCGTTTTATGTTTGGCCTGTTTTTTCCTTTAATGTACAATAGCACTATAGTGAACACTGTCACGATATCATACAAGCTTTTCTCCGCTCCAGAATTGCCACTGTTCGACAGGTGATACAGAGCGGTTTTTTGGTCCAACTCGTTGGATGCTTCATTATGTAAATCCGGCTACAGCTGGCGCATTGCGTGTAAGCACTGCTTTGTTTTCTGAGTCTTGACACGGTATGTGCACGTGTTGCCCTAATGAAGACTTCTTATCGATAGTGAATTGAAATGCTACTACGTATCATCCTCTTTTACTATTGTTTTACTGCCCAGCACTGATAGTTTTGGGGGTTTTGAAATGTGATGATCTAACTTCACCCACTGCCTCGTTAACACACTGCGTGAAAACCTTATTACTCGTTAGATAATCCCTTCACATTTGGTCGAACCGAAACTGACACTCATCGTCTCACAATCTACGTTGTATCATTCTTGTTGTATACAACTCTCGACTTACTTAACTGTAACAGTCCCTTTCGTTACGACAAGCAACACGTTGTTGCTGTTTCATGCTTTGATGCCAATTTTTGCAGTTGGTTGGGAAAACTTTCCTTTGTTTCTTGATATTGTATTCGTCTGTTGATTTACCATAAACAACTCACACCGCCACTCGGCGGATTATTCACCACCTTGCTCTCGTTCTCGATTAATTCCTCGATATTTATGAGCCACCAATGACCTCCGTGGATCTTCACCAGCTTTTTCGCGTATCTCTATTTGCATCCAGCTGCGGCCCACTTCGTCTCGTTCCAGTATGGATTCATCCGTTATCTGTCATGCCACTATTTCCTCATATTTGGAGCTGCATTGTTTTTCTGATGGTTCTTAGCGCCCATTTACTATCATTATATTGCTTCTTGTCTGCTCTAGCTGCTGGTGACACAGTCAAAAATTACGACACGTTTACTGACTACACTTCTTTATCCTATACTGCTGTGTCTACAGTGATGTCTCATCTTTCAAGCGACGTCCATAATTGGAGTAATGAAATTAACGGAATTTATGGTGGAGTCTGGATGTGAAGTATCACAACAGCGGAATTCCGCCCCCAATTTAATTTGTTTCACGGCTTGGTTCTCTCGCCGGTGCGTCACTCTGTCTACTTAAATAGCACATCTTGTCACACCATTCCAGCTTTCGTTCTTCCGAGTTTCTTTGTACGGATCGTCCATACTTTTTATAGTGGTTCTAGTACACGCCTTTGGTATACGCTGACAGTATGGTTCTCTTCAGCATTCGGTATATGATTGCGTCGACCGCGTTTTCCTATTCCTTTACCCAGCACTTTTAAGTTTACGCTCCTGCTTTTCCTACTACTTTCACAAATCTTATCTGAAGAACCTCCGCCTTTTATGGATAGTAGCCTTTCTTTGGTTCTACCTTTCCGTATTTTAATGTCCCCATCTAGTATTTGCTTCATTTCTCTTAATCTTGGTTACCGATTAACTTGTTCCCTCTACTATTCTAGTCCACCTTTGTTCACATCTCGTTTTCTTATGCTTCTTCATTTCAGTGAGCTCATGTATCCCGTCCAATGAAGCACACACGTCGGATCTCTTGCTGGCATCATCTCATCACTCTTAGTCAGTCGTACCACTTCCCTAGACAGACTTACCTGGATCAATCGATGCATTACGCTCTCATTGTGAAGTTTTGTAATATTTTTGTATTTTATTTTTTGTTCAATCGGCTCTCATTCGACCGGCTTTTCTCCCCGCATACCTTGCTTCACACGCACCGTTTCCCCCCCCTGTCGTGTAATCACTCCTCATAATCGTATCCGTACTACCACATACGATAGATGAGTTACACTGTGTTCCTTTCCTTCGTCTTCAGTTCTCTCTTTTTCCGTTTCATTTAGCGCTTCTTTTCGATGCTCTTCAGTTCCTTGTTGCAACTGAATATGATGCAGCCCTTGAGGTTACCTTGTCTTCATACATAGTTTTCGTCACTCCATTCTTAGCTATCTTGTTCACACTTTCCATCTTTTTGGCTCCTCTGTGTGGCGTTTGCTCTACCGCCATTGTTTACAACCGTTGTGAACAAATGTAACGGTTCTAGTGGCCTCTGTAGTCGTGTTTACTTACTGCCCATGTCGCAACTCGTTTGCTGTTATACCTCTTCTGGTGTACATTAGGCTTATTTCTTCTCTCCGAAAAGGTATAACACGTCGATCTCCGTCCACTCTGTCATATGATTATCGCCAACGCCTTACATGCGCCTAATTAAATACTATTTTACAAAGCGCATTTGTACACGTATCGTTTTCTCTGTTTCTTGTTCCTCACGACTATTTTTCCGTCGCATATTTCTTGCATGTTTATTGCTCTTACTGATTCGCGTCTGGTCGTTGTTTTATATCTGCGTGTGCATCTTTGGTTTGATAAATGCCGAAGTTTGCCTTATCCTTCTCATAGGAATCTGGCATGTGTGCTTGGCCCCCCAATCCTGCTGCTGCCCGCAGACCGTCGTCGCTCATTATTTTTTTGCACGTCCGTTACCAATTGTTCGTTACTTTCACTAAAGCAATGTGGAGACCATCTAATTTCTTAAACACTACAACACAGCATATATCCGTCACTACTGTCCCTTCGTTGAGCCACAACGCTGTATCACACTTTATTTGTGCTCCACAATCCCATGAACCCGTTTACGACGAAACCCTTTCACACTCTTCGTTAGTAAGCGCCTATGCATCAATCCTCGGTATTGCTGGAGTGGTTGTTATAGACCATCTGTATACAACCCGACTTTTTTCTTTCTTTTTTTGTTTTAAAGTCCGACTCAACTCTCGCCCAATTTTAACCGGTGATCAACATTTCTCTGTACTCTTTTGTCATTCTATTATCAGCACATTAACGCTTACTTTGTCAGCCTCTTGATTGTTGTGTGTCATGTCTAGGCTTTCGGATGTTCGTGACTAAATATTTTTTAGCACCAGATTACTCCGTTGACATTTTGTATTATTTGCCTTGTCCGTAACTCCGGGAACTGGGTACACTTACCGATGCGACCTCTGGGGCTACATCTTCAGATATCAGCTAGCATCGTTTACAGCGTATCGGGCTGGCTGGTTGCATCGGTTCACACACTGATTATAATCGGCTTCGTTCGAGCCGCGAACTTACGAGTGCAGCTGTCCATCCTCATGCAAGAGCACACTTTACTTCTCCCCGTCCTTCGGGTGTTTCAGTCCAATGCCCGTTTCCCCGTGATTATTTCTGTCCATTTTTGCGATGCCTTCATCCAGAGTTCACGGTTTCACTGTAGGCCTTTTCTTTTTCGTACTGAGTTTGTTGCTTATCGTTCTTGTGCTGCGGATTCGGTCCTGTTTTATGTTTCGTGGTGCAATTCATCATCTCTTCTTCAAGTTTGCGCTTACTAGTATTGGGTCACTTGGCTCAGCGCTTTCGCAGTTGAATCCAACTTCTTTGGTTGTTCGGTTGTTTCTCTTCCTTCATTTTTCCCTTGAAACAACACACCTATTCACCTGGGTCAATTATGCAAGCCACTTCATCTATAGAAACCATCTATCTATGCAAGATCCTTATGCCGTTTTGTCGTTCAATCACTCCTCTGCATTTATGGCCTCGGTCTTAGCGTGCCATTGTTTGTTCTGTCAATGCATTCCTCTCTCATTATTTGTTTAGTGGGTATCCGTGTTGCTCACGTTGACCTTCTTTGATGAGTCACCCGCACGCACCTGAGATTGCGTGCCCACATTTCCGAATGTAGGTTGGTTTTTTTGTCGCCCTCATCTGCTCCCTTTTTACATTGTGGCTGACGCGGTTGATGCGTTCTACCTCACTGCAACTCATCGGTTAATTGTCTTGTACTCCACTGGTGGCCGCTACGGATCCGAGTGGGTTCGAATGGTCGACGTACCACTAGGGGTGGTCTCGCTGCAGTGAAACGTCGGAATGGCCTACACGTATACTACCCTATCCATTGACTTGTGTTCTCCGTGTTCGTTCCTGTGGCTTCCTCCACCTAGACACGTTTCGTACCCCACATGGAATGGATATCTTTTGTTGGATGGTACTCTCCGTCTACCTTTCGACTGTGTACTCTATCACTTTGCTGGGTTCCCACATTATCTCGTTCACTTCCGTTCTGTTCTCAAACGAGTCCATTATTCGTTATTGCCCATTTCTCGCGATATTTGGTTTTTATTTTCAGCTGTATTACTTCGTTGTTGTTTGGAATCGGTATCTTTTTACTTATCCTTTTCCAAGACCTACTTTTTGTCCAGAACTTTTGTCACTGATGGGATGCATGCATTTGGCGTTTACGCGTTTGTATCAACCTCATTATTGTGTTCATTTTAGTTCCTGACAGTAGCTGTTACGTGGCCCAGAGTGGTTACAACGCTCTTCAAGATAATTATCCACTGCTCCTGCCTCTTCCATTTCTTGTATCTTACTGGTCCACCAGGCTTCATCGTCGTCATGTAGACTGCGCTTTGGTTCGTGTCTAATGGTCCATTTTGTCGCATTATACTCGAAGCCGGCAGAGAGTTTTCTTTCGGATTCCAACAAGTTCACAGACCTCTCGGATATCCAGTGACCGAGGCCGTGACAATTGATAGTGCTGCGAGCAGTGGTTCCAGCGTCGTGCATTTCGGCGAGATCCTATTCCACTGAAGTTCAGTTTCATTAGGACATGAGAGCGAAGATTCGGTTCATAGTGCCTCCTAGTAGGCTTGCCTAATCGAGGACTGTGGTAACTTCTTAGTCCTCAATTGTGGGGGCGCTTGCTACGCCTTTCGCTAAGGTTCATGGAAAACGACCGCGTTTACAAGACCACAATGAGAGTCGTCACATCTTATGGGAGTGAGAATTGATCACTTCGGTCTGAGGATCTGAGGCGCTTTCAAGTCTTCGATCATCGCTGTCTGCTGCGCATTGCTGGTGTCCGATGACACCAGCGTGTTCGCAATGATGATGTGGTAGGCGAGTATTAGGCATTGATAACAAAGCTAGTTCCTTAGAACAACAGATGGCGCTGAATAAGCTGTGTTGGCTTGAGTAAGTGCTACGTATGCCCGGTCACCGTCTACCGAGGAGATCTTTACTTTGTTTGCCAGATGTAAGGTGGCGCAAAACTCCAGGTGGACAAAAGTTGACTAACTACAAAACTATGTACCATTGGTCTGTCTCGCTCTCCAGGCTAGAGTCCAGGTGACCCGCCTTGGTTCGCAGTCGACACCAGTGGTGCGTCCGCCATAGTCTGGTAGTTGGACTGTTTGTTTAAAGTGTGTTGCTGAATTATCGGCGTGGTAATGGCTGATTATGACTCGGGGTAGTGAAAGCTACAAGGAAGTTGTCTCGCTGATACCATCTTATCTTTGTTTTGTACGATAGCCAGCTGTTTTTTACGGTATGTTGTTGACAAGGTGTAGGTGCCTTGACGTTAAATGCTTGTTTAGGGCATTAAAGCTTTACGCTAGTTTCCCCTTTCTGTCCCTCTTATTACTTCTCGTTCCTTAAGTCACCGTGGTTTTGCAGCAGCGATGCACCAGACAAATTGCCTGAGGTAATCCTGTTGATCATGATGACGGTTTTCTCCTCCGTGATGATTTAAGCCCTCCGCGCCATCAGAGTGACAGTAACCCTTAATTTCACGCTCCTCCGCAATTCTACTCACTTATCAACCTGCAACCGTACGTTCGACCTTACTATACGGTTGCGAAACCTGGCCCCCTAAGATCGGCGGACATAAAGAGGCTAGTTACGTTCGACCACCGGTGCCTTCGCAATTTAGCACACATCTGGTGGGAACACCGCGTGAGCAACGAGCGTGTCCGACGCCTTGTTTACGGCACAGGAAAAGGAAATGAACCGCTCAGCGCCGCCATTTCACGCACCAGGCTCCGATGGCTCGGCCACGTGTTGCGCATGCCAGCCCACCGACTTCCGCGACGTGCGTTGTTTGCTCACCGGGGGTGTGGATGGAAGAAGAGGAGGGGTGGCCAAGCGATAACTTGGTCGAGAGGAATGAAGGCCCTGACTTCGGCGCTGGCCTCGGTTGGAGCTTCACGGCTCCCTGGTTGGAGTCCAAAAGACGATGAACACGTTTGGCTAGATACACTTGCTGACATGACTAGGAGCCGATCTCATTGGCGTTCGTGCTGTGAGTTTCTCTGTCCCTCCCCATCTTTTTTAGCCTCCCTCTCCAACCACGTGGATTTAATTATTCAGTTGGCGCCAAACCTTTACTTTCTTTGTACGAATATTGAAGGCTTTGTGGTGGACATATAGTCAAAAAACCAGTGCGGTCTATCTCATACTCATCATCATCATCATCATCATTACACGTTAGCTGGAGGTGGAAAACACCTCAGCTATTGTGCCGCAATACAAAAGGCAAGAAAAGAAAAAAAAACAAACAAACAATGGCACGCCCGCTGAGTCCCCAGTAACGGATGGACATCGTTCCGGAGAGCTAACAGCTGGCTGCCGTAAAAGAAAGTCATATTATGCCTAACGATTGGAGGGGGATGCTAAACAGGAGGGGGATGGACAAAGGAACTCACAACACAAACGCCATTGGGGCCGGCTCCTAGCCATATCAGCCAGTGTGTCCAACCAAACGTGTTCACCGTCCTTAGGACCCCAGCCAGGCAGTCGGGATGCACCAACCGACGCCAACTTCGAAGTGAGGGTTTTCATTTCTCTCGACCAAGTCATCACTTGGCCTCCCCTCCTCCTCTTCCAACAGCACCCACAACGCGCAAACAATGCACGTCGTGGGAGTCGGTGTGCTGGCATGCGCAAGACGTGGCCCAGCCATCGGAGCCTGGTGCGTGATATAATGGTGCTGAGCGGTTCACTCGCTCTTCCTGCACCAAATACGCGACGTCGAACACGCACATTGCTCACGCGGTGTTCCCACCAGGCATGAGCTAAGCTGCGAAGGCAGCGATGATCGAACGTGACGAGTCTCTTCATGTCTGTCGACCTGATGGGCCAGGTTTCACAGCCATATAGGAGAGTTGAACGGACGGCTGCGTTGTAAACTCTGCCCTTCAGGGCGAGAGTAATGTCGCGTCT